TATTAATGGACTCATCCCTTGCTTTTGCGTCTTGTCCACGAATCAACACCCTGGAAGAATAGGTAAACAATTTAACACTACCCAAGAACAATGGCCAACTTTGAAAGAAAAAGGAAAAGCGTGCATATCATTAGTAACCAGGAACAGATCCAAAAAAGAACCGAGTTGGTGTCAAAACTAACATCCCTATCATTGATAGAGACAAATAACAAGGGTGTTAACTTTAGACCACGGGCAATCCACAAGAAACATACAATAGATCATACTTACAAAATTTGGAGTTCCTTCAGTCCTCTGAATGCAAATTCCGCGATACTTGTCAAGGGAACGTCTTTTATGACACTGTAACAATCAGAAGAAGACCATGCAAAATGTAATTTCGATGATCTTTCTACCTGTTTTCTGGTAATTTCATTTGTGGTTCCTCCTATACGGTGGTAATGAGAGACACCTGTAGTCAGTGTGTAGTAATAAAGTATGTAATAAGGAGCCAACGAATTAGTGGAATTATGGGTAGAGGTTAAAACGTTGGCCTTCATTGGCTTCAAAGACCTTAAAGTCAAAGGATGACCTCTGTCGAGCCTTGAAATTTTTATACTCATTTGCACAAAAAAGCTGTTGTATCTGTTCATATTTAGTGTTCCAATCATTCATCGTTTTATTTTTTGCACACAAACACAAAGTTACAATAAAATTTTAGGGGAACTCAGATCACTTCCAAAAGGCTTGTATTGTGCCGATAACCGTTCGAAAAAAGAAACCCACAGCACTGCAAGCCAGCCAATAGGCAGCCGCCATTTAGAAAACCACAAGCATCCGCTACTTTCCATCGCATCCTTGGCCAAAAAAACAGCCCAGTGTACTCTCATGCGATCGAAAAAAAATAACAAAATTGACAGCACTTACATTCCTTGAAGCATGTCGAGTCCTTTGAAGGCGTCATTTGCTAAAGTGGTGAAATTATCCTGCGAGATATTCCTGTTCAAAGATATTACACAAAACCGGCACCATTGTATATCCTAACTCGAACCGACTAACCAAACCACTGTTGATAACAAAGTTTTCGTGGCAAAATGCCGACGTGTGAAGCAATTAATGTGTATTGCTGCAACGGCATTACGTTTGGATCGTTGGCACAAAATTTGGAAAGCAAGGCCGATTGAGCTTGGTGCGTGGAGTGCACGTAATTCAATAATGACAGGTTTTCTCAGTTTGTTTGCATATGCAAAAAAGATTACCTTTAAAGGTTATTCCTGCAATTTTTTTTTGCACTAAAGTTTTTTTATTCTCTGAGAAAAACGCTCAGTTCAGCGTCTTTTTGATTTTTATGTCTTACTAAATTTGGCTTAGCAACTATCCGCATTATACAATAATAAACTACTTCTACGTTTCCAATTATGGTATTTTGCGATACAAGCCTTGTTTATCAACCGTGACGGGGTATAGTCAAATCGGGTGACCACTTATTGTTTTTAAATATGTTGCAGTAAAATATCCTAGTATCATAGAATAAAAGAGAATAACTATGTCTTTGGTCGTTCTTTAACAAACATCCACTCAGGAGAATGGACGCCAATAATGGCCCAAGTCGGTAGCTAAGGACACCATTAGAGCGTCCGTTCTCTGTATCAGACGGTCAATTAAAAAACAAAGGCCGGCCCTCTCGCCAGTTGTCATAAACAATTCCCTTTTATGGAGATTTGGCACGTACTACATAATACATTAATACCCGATCCGACTATCCCAACACTACTGTGATGCTAATATATCACCGTATGACGCAATACAGTAGGCAAATTTATAAGTGAGGCTTTTTCGTGACGCTGACTGGTCTCACTTATCAGTTTGCCTAATGCATTGCATAATACGATAATACATTAGAATCACAGTTCTTACAGGCCTTACTTATAAGTAGTGGTGGGTAGTCGGATCGGGTGCCATTATAAATCATTGTCCATTTTACCGTGGTGGTCTTAATCAACGTTTAAGCACATAAACACATATTTTTTCTATATATAAGTAACTAATGTGAGTCAGACAGCCAAACAAGTTTAAAAAACCATAACTTCCACAGAGTCTTCCCCAATTTTGCTTTTCGTACCCCTTTACGGTATACGTTAGAGGTACGTGCCTCCGCGAGCCTATGCTTTATGAATCGTTAAGTACAAGCCACGGGACGGCTCTTGATCAATATTAATCGCTCTTCTATTTAATCAAAAGTGTGAAAAACACAGGTCATTCATTTAGGACTCTGGCAAACCAAAAAGATGCATGAATTTTGTTGATATTGGAGCCCTGAGAGCGGTGTTAAGCGTAGTAAGACGTTTCGTGTTTGCTTAAAACGTTACAGAAGCTACCATCAGGTTTTTAGCCATTGAACTCCACTGCCCAGTTACTACACAGCGTCCGTCACACTCTTCAATTAACGTGTTATTCATTGCAAATGTGTTTTGCTGTGTGTATCGCATCTGCTAATGGTACGAAACACTCGGATAAAGTTCAACTATTAAGGTCAGTTAATGAACTAAACTGAAGTAACTAGATTGTCATGTTGCATGCCAAACCTACAGCCAAAGGAGTTTGCTCAACCCATCGAATGACAGCGTTTGGATGTCTCGTATGCCATTGTTGGTGAGGAACCTGCAAAACAAAAACAACAAAATAAATAGGTTTGAAGAAACGAACTCCTTGGGAAAGCTCTGGATATTACAGACAGTTGTTTTTTACCAGGCAGGCCAGAATGTCCACTCAATAAGCGCATTTATTGCATAATGTTTGTTTTACTGTGCTTTTTCTCCTTTCATGATGGATGCTAGAAATCATAAACAGATGTGGCTTACTTATGCATTCTTTAAAAATTGTAGCACGCCATTGGTAGATCTATAAAATGGGGGGGGGGCATTTGCGGTTTTGAAAGGGGAATAGGGTGCGTATGACATATTAATTTAAGAAAACAAATCTTCGAAGTAATTGAATAATCAATATAGAGGGCCAAAGAAAGAAATGGAAAAAAGGAAAATGAAGAAGTATCTCCCAATCTTCAAAATGGAAAAATCGACAAATGGGTGGAGGGGATGACTTGGCTGCGCTGAATCTGATAATGTCTGTTCAAAATCCTCTTCTAGGATCAAGAGCCAGTTCTAGACCGTGCCCAAAGAGTCGAGATCCCGTTCTGGAACTGTGTCAAGAATTCAAGAGCCTGTTCTAGACCGTGTCCCATGAGTTTAAATACCTGTTCTGGACCCTGCTTCAACAATTTTAATGTCTACTATAGACCATGCCTCAAAAATCAAGAGCCTTTTCTAGACCATGCCTCAAAAGATCAAAGGCCTGTTCTAGACCGTGCCTTAAGAGTTTAAGAATTCGTTCTTGGCCGTACCTCAAGAGTTCTGGAGACTTTTCTAGACCGTGCCCAAAGAGATCGAAAGTATGTTCTGGACCGTGCCTCAAGAGATCAAGAGCTTTGTTCAGAAAATGTCATGAATGTTCAAAGGCCTGTTCTAGTCCATGTCTAAAGATTTTAAGAATTCGTTCTTGACCGTACCAGAAGAGTTGAAGAGCCTGTTCTAGACTGTGCTTCAAAGGTTCAAGAGCCTGATCTTGAACGTGCGGAGGGAGTTTAAAAAAACGTTCCAACCGGATTTCAATAGTTCAAGAACCTGTTCTACTCCACATGGCACTAATTAAAGAAATTGTTTTGACCGTGACCAAGTAGCTCAAGAGCCTGCTGTAGACCATGCCTAAAGGGTTTAAACGCCTGTTTGAGGCCGTGTCTTGAGGTTTTAAGAGTCGGGTCCCTCCGAAGGTTTATCTGTTTCCGTTTGCACAAGCGCTTACAACACGCGGAACGATACTTGCGACACTCCAGCATCGCAAGCATTGGCTTTTTCCACTTAGTGAAGTTGTTTGTACATTTACATGATTTTCCCTTCAAGCCTCTCAAACGAGCCGTTTACAGTCAAATAACTCTCTGACTTACAGGGATTGAAGCTTCAGGAATCGTTTCAAAAGGCCTTGGTCCAATTTTTTGACAGAGCCACCAGTAAGTTCTCTGAAACGATTAATAAAACTTGCAGTTAGAGATATAATTTTTATACTCGAAGGTATGTCGTCGTAGAACACAAGTGACCTGGTGTACTTACCGATAAGAAAGCGCTATGACACCAACACGTAAAGATATCCCAAGTTACAGGTTGAAATGGGAGCTGTTTGTCACATTGATTATATTACACATGCAACAAACTTTGGCCTATTCTAGCAGTTGTATTGCGATCATGTCACAGATGCACTTACAGCACATTCGTAATAGCTGCCATGTTATCAATTGTATCCGCTGTCCATCCCGATTGACATCTAACATAGAGGGCGTCATTATTATAGTAGCACGTACACTCACTTGGACAACGGTTCACATCTGAAATGGACAGTTTGAGGTAGACGCTAATTAGCTTGAGTGTTCATTAGCATTCATTGGTAACGATTTTTTATGTTTCGCTAGCAAAAAAAAATCAAATCAATAATGGCTATTGACTGGTCATAGGAAAGGTGTTCAACATTGTTCGAAAGAGTTAGTCATATAGTAAAAAAAAATGAAACATTATTCCGAAATTTTTGGTGAGAGCCTTCACACCAGAGAGGGTCCAAGCATGGCACGGATAAATTGATTTGAAAATGAAGAACTAAAGAGTTGCAGAGCAAAGTCTCAAAAGTAACTGATAGAGAACCTCTGTTTTTCTCTGGGTTAACCGAGGAAGTATGTCTGGCTCGGCAAAAATGGCCCTTAAGCCTATGTGTAACAAATTGATTTTAATGTGGAGTAAAATTTGTGTATTTTTGACCTCTGCTGCAAATTCCGTTTCCGAGATACGGTAAAATTTAGAATTTATCTCTGACAGATGTAGGCAACAGTCTGTTATATACAGAGGCGTAGCATAATTAAGGGCCCTTTTTTAGAGTGGGTCACAAATAAACATTTTTAGAACAAAAACTGAAGAGCTAGCACGGAACATTTCAGAACTTTAATTTCATACCACAATTCCTTTCGTCTTCGCCGAGCAAGCAGTGCTTGGTGCCATCACAGACTTCCATCCAAAGAATACATTGTTTGCTTCCTCGGCACTGGAAAAACCCAGGACAGCTAATATTGTCTGGACAGAAAACATTTTTCGAAAACAAAGATAATAAATATTAACTAAATTATGAAACATTTGTTCATGTCTGTTCTGGGGGAAACCCTTCCTTCCAGCTGGTAGCAGTAATCGGGTTGTAATTTTCCGGAACGTTTCATACATTTTCGGAAAGAAACAATCAAACAAACTTAAGAAAAGATATGAAGAAACAGTTCACGCCACACCATATTACGGACCTTGTACAAC